GGCTAGTCCGTGGGCGTCGTAAGGGACCGGGCCCGAGGTATGAACCGATGGACATATATTTGAATTATATTAATTGGATCTATTACGTGTTGCTGTGCTTTGGCTATGCCCGCAGCTCAAACACTGCAGTGTGATACATCCTATAACATGTTGCCATCGTCTAGTCTTGTAAGCGACTCGAATCGCTTGATTTTACTCTCTGAATCTTCCTCGTCGCCGGATTTTCAGCTATTTTCTGCCGAAGATTGTTATTATGAGCTTAGTGAGTGCACTGCCGGCATCGCATACTTTATTCTCAGTGTCCGCGCTAGATTCTACGAGAAAACTATGATTCGTCACAACACAATGGATTTATGGAATTATCTCAGATATTTACCGCGAGTTTTTGTGAGTATTCAGCACGCAGTAACTGTCTTTCTAACTAATCTTTGTGGTAGGATTCCATTTTCCTTCTGCTGAAAACACAACAATGTCAGAAATTTGTTGAATCTATTATTTTGTGAGAGAGCTGATGCTATTTATTTTCAGGACTTTAACCGCGCGCCCTACTATTTTTGGCAGAGACGATTGCATCGTGGAATTCGTTCGAAGAATTGTTGATGGCACAACGAAGGCCGCAGCGGTGCTTGGGTCACCATTCATTGGAAAAACATCCATCGCACGAGAAATATTTTTCCACCAATCTATTCATGATCGCTTTGATAACCGATGTTACTGGGTATCATGCGCAAATATCACATCGTTGGAAGCATTCCTCGACAAGTTCATCCAGTGTTTGGGCCGGCAGTCACTGCTCGGACGATTTCTTCGCCGAAGCCCACTTGCAGTGCTCTCCATGAAGTCCGAGACAGTAGTGGCCATGCTTTCCCAAGCGAACGTCTCCCAATTTGTCGTGTTGGATGGCTTCGAGGGTATTTGGGATGATACTGAGCTGCGAGATCGTGCCAACCAAATCCTATCCGATATATGTGATATCCCGCATCTGACTGTACTGTTCACCCTTCGTGGCACCACCGTTCCATCTGTAGTTGACTGGTCCTATCACCTCGGTCCACTTCCCACACAAGCCGCTCGTTTACTTTTCCTCTCCATGAACCAAAATCATTCTGGCGCCGAGCTCAATGATCTTTTAGAAAAGGTCGACTTCAACCCTACTCTGGTTGGAGTTCTCGCCCGCATGGGGGATGAACTCAACATGCGACCTGTGGACATGTTACAAGAGTGGGAAGACCATGGGATTGGACTTTCTCGAGAAGTTTCCAGATGAAATGCGCGAGTTCCAGTCTTCCATCGAATCTTCACTAAAGGGCATCATGGAATCCAATACAACCGTATGGAAGCTTCTCAAGATCCTTTCCATGTTTCCACAGGGCTTGTCACACGCCGAACTACATCGAATCGCCCCCGATATCGACCACATTATCGCAGCCGAGTTACCAATGCTGGATCCAAATCCGCATTTACTGAAGCTGCATGCCCCGATTCGATCCTACATCTTCCAGTTTCACCCTCTCGGTGACTCCATGTCAAACATATATTCCTACGTCTTCGCGCAATGCAAGGAGCGTGTGTCCCGACCTGGAGACTGGCAAATTTATAAAGAATACCGCCTATCTGACAACATTTGGGAGTAACGTCGAATTCATCATCACTGATGCATTGGATCGCGGTTGCATCGATGCGATCGAGGCTTTCCTTGACCACTCGGCCCTTCTCCCCTCTACTCGTCCAAATGAACGAATCATGAAGCAAGCAACCGAGCTAGCACGCCAGTCTGAGCGCAAGGAATTGCTCCCTCGCTGTCTCCTATGTCTAGCTGAAATGGAGCGAGCGATCACTGGCACCGCTCGTGGTGCATACACGGAGCCTGTTGCAAAGTTCATGGAACTTAATGATATTCGCAGTGCAGCTTATTGCGAATATTATTGGGCATTGTCGACATTCCGGTCCGGTGACGATGGCGGTGAAAGGCTCATCAAGGCTTTAGAGATGTTTCGTACCGTAGGAGACGAACACGGCGAGGCACAGTGCTTCCTCAGCCCTTTTTCAACAGTCGGAACGCCATTCCTACGAGTATCATTACCTTCACAGTGCCAAAGCCCTATTCACCAAGCTTGACGATCAATTCCGTGTTGCTCAGTGCCTACAGGAGGAGGCGGGCTATTTATTGCAACAGATGAAAGTCGAGGAGGGCCTTTCGTTGCTTGTGGATGCAACCAATAAATTTACCCAATTCGAAGATGGATCTTCCACCGCGGAATGCCTTCGTCAGCCTTGGCATATGGCTCCATGCTTTGGGTGATAAAGAATCTTCCTACTGAGTTCTTGGACCGTGCACTGAAGAAATACCAAAGTCTAGGACGAAAGCTTGATGCTGCATTTTGCATGAAGGACTTAGCTACACGATACTGGTCATCAGGACGCTTCTCAGAAGCCATTCCTCTTCAAGAGACAGCGGTTCCAATCTTTTGGAGTGCTTGATTTTGTTTACGGAGGGGCGGAGACCAGGCTAGAATTGGGAATGTCACAGATTGCGGCAGGTCGCATAGATGATGCCATCTTGAGCCTCGAAATTGCGCGGAGGGAGAACCTAAGAAACGATGTTCAGTATGCGGTCCAAATCAGTGCAGCCTTCCTCCAATTGTGCCAGGAAGCAACAAGTGTTGCAGCTCGTGCAGAACTGCAGCGGATTGGCCGAGAAAGGCTATCTACAATGACATCCTGGGGAAATGCTTGTCCCCTTCTTCCATATCTTGACGTAGAAGCAGTTAGCCATCTCCAAAAATTTAACTGAAGGGGTTTTGTACTTAGTTCGTTGTAATATTATGCTTTGCCTTGTCCTGGATGCGGAGCCATATCCATTCTTCAACAATGTATTCGGCACGTAATGCGTCATAATTGTGCAGTAGGAAAACGAGTGATTATTACAGGCTGATGATTTTATAGAAACTCATTACACGTGACGAGGGGAAAAACAGCTACGGCTGTGGAGACTCATATAAACCCGAGGGTCAACGAAGAACGCCGTTCTGTGTTGTAGCGCATAATCGCAAAGCGCCGTAACATTAGAGGTGGATACAAGAGCATCGGCATTGCTGAACGAGAAACAAGGTGAAAACGAACATTCTTCCTTTTGGCTCCTACCTCTGAGGCGCAGCTCTCAAAAAAAAGATGGATCCAGCTAGTATTGTTTAAGCTGGAAAAGGATGAAGCACCACCGAGTAAACTCGGTCTGCAGAAGGTGCTCTAAAAGAACCATTGATTCTCTTCATGAAGGTTGCCACGGCCTGCATTGTGAAAGCGACGAGTTGCACGTCATGGCTCGGATCCTATTCATAATCCCGAGCCGCTTTGTTAGGTTCCCCCAGGTCTTGGTGAGAGGTCATTGAGAATGGTATAACTAACTCGGGCACCGGCATGAGCCCGGATACGGAAGACTCATGGTGAATCCAAGATACTTATCCCCGGCTTCCGCATAGAAGCAGAGTAAACAGCGAGTTCTCTCCTTTTTCAAATAATCGAATACTCACCGGAAGCTGATATCTACATATCTCGCACAGGATATTCGTTCTATACCATATAGTCTTGATAGCCCTGGTATCTGGTGAGTAATCTTCCGTGGTATAGACTAATATTGACACAATCATACCCCCTGACAGAAGGAGGATCGCATTTGGTGCGGGACACAGCAGGACACAGCATATTGGCGAGTCTCTTAGATCTCCTTGATGATTTCAAGTCTGATCCCCGGTTCGTAAAATCCGCATTTATAAAATGGCCAGAGCAGGGATTGAACCCAGAAGGCCCAGGCCTTCAATGTCACTGTGACAGTCATAATTCCTGTTTTGAACCAGCATGGCGGTCGCTGTGCATGATAGCGAACTCCCGTTGGATAACGAAGAGGTTCTCTTTGGGTTCTCTTACCGGGCGTTTCTATTGTCGGCTTGTGTGTATTAGCATTTCCGACGGAGATCTCTTTTGACGCTTACCTGACAGTTCTTTGCACTGGTATTCATCCTCTGGCTCCATCGGCGCTAACGACGCGATTCAAATCTTTGGGCAAGGCAGTGATCGACTAGTGCCAATGTCGAGATATTGGCTACGGTCGCAATTAGTGTGATCTCGGCAGGTCGTTGATAGGAATGCAGTGCGTCTTCTGGTCTGTTTTACGTGTTTATCTTTCTCACTGGAGGAGTCAAGGCTCGGCAGTGTCAGCACCGTCTCGCTCAGGCCTCAGGACATAACGAAAATCTAGTATCGCATTTCGGAGATATGAAACTGGAAAGAGCCCATTGGCAATATATCACTTCATGCGTGTTAGAGCGGCGAAAGACAGTATTCAAGAGGTGCGTCGTTTACTACCTCAGATTATCTTACCACTGCTCACTTCGATTCTATTGTTCCAGTTAATGGTGACGTCCATGTAATAGGGAGCAGCGGCGGGGTTCGATACAAGTTCACGAAGTTCTGGGCTATCGAAGCAGATTTTGAAGTGATCCTGACCAAGTCAGATGGATACAAGCACACATACTAGTACAGTGAGTAAATTAACCCTGTCTTACGCATCAGAATTCCAAGTGTGACACGATCTATAGACGCACTTCGCCGCCAGAAAGCTTGTTCCGCTGCCATGTCTCTCGGCACTTCGGTGTCTTGTTGTCAAGGGAAGGAGAGTCGGATGCATGGAGAGCGACGAGCAGCTTCAATCAGCGAAGCATGTCTTTTTCATGGACCGAGCGTTCTCGGGTTCACACGCCGCATTAGTCAATAGTCCACAATGAGGTACGTTGTCACTCGGCTCGAATCCTGCAGCTCGCTAGCTTACATTATTTTCTTACGAGTTACAATACTGTTTGGCAAAGGACTGTGTCATATTTTTCTGCTACTGACTCGCTAACGTTGGGTGTTCAGGCCATCCTAGTATGGGTCAATGTCAGTTGTGGTTGATGAAGGGTTTGCTTTCCCAAACATTTAGATACAAAGCCTGTACACAATGGTGAGCCGTCGTAGCGCAGTGGTAGCGCGTCGCTTTCCTATTTAGTATTGGGTCAGGCGAAGGTTGCGAGTTCGATCCTCCACGTCGGTAATAGAAATTTTACTTCATCAGTGTTCGGCTTTTTTTGCCCCTTTGTTTGTGCTAAGTGCTTCACTTCGTCCAGCGTTGGGACTTCCTGCGTTGAAAGCACATGGTACATGTTCGGCAACATCGGTGATTTGTCATTCCTTTCCTCTCATCCCATAGAGTGTCTACAAGTTCTCAATCAAACGATTCAGATCCTGATTGACGCATACCAGTCTTTGCTCCCGGAATGGTTTACTTACTTTGTACATCTGGGTCTCCTCTGAAATGATTGTCTGGTTGCGATGTTAGTTTTGTAGCTGGTACAGACTTCAACAGCAGCCACGCCTCTATTATCATCTGTGATAGCGACCGCACCTCTTCGGGTTACATTCTGAGAGAGTATTAAGTGGGTATCTGACATATACATGGCACAGAGTCTGTAAACCTGCCGGCGATTATTCATTACTAAAAGTATACCGTCATGGTACTTCGCGGAGATTGAATAGCTGAAGAGCACACTAATTTAATTTGTCGGAGCGATATCAATACACCGTTACACTATCCAAGGGCTTTGTCCGACACCCAGCTCTCGATTCCTCCTCTTATAGATGATCCTCAGAATTCCGACACCTATGGCACCTACCAGCATTACTGCCCCATTCGTAAAATGTCCTGTCGCGTACCCAGGAGCCTCGCTTGACTTGTATATGAATATTCCTGAATACGCGTTCAGCCTCATGAGCCAAACACTCGAAACGGCGACTGACCTATCATCTGGCCCGATGCCCCAAAGGCGACATTCACCGGAATTGCTAGTGTTGTCGCGTTAGTATCCCGCAGATTTCCGGTAAGCCACGCTAATAGCGAAGGGTTGCCAGCATAAGAGAACACTGTCCCTAGGCAGAGCATCGTATACCGTGCCTTGAATGATGTTGCTGGTAGCGAACCTACAGACACACATCCTTCAGCATCGTACAGAGCAGTCATATCTAGAAGCTTGCCATGAATAATAAAAGTTATTCCTGCGAGTACCATCGAAACCATCCCACACATTGACCAGATCCGATACCGATCTGCCACCCAGGACACCGCCACGGTAGCTAAGAACGCCACGGCAAAGGGCGGTACCGTAAATAGCTGAGCATTGAGCCCTCTGTACCCGAGTCCATTCACGATGGTCGGCGTGAACAGCGATATACTCGAGAACGGCACCGACACAGAGATGAACACGATATAATGCAGATATAACCGCCAATCCTTCAATGCAGCTTTCGCCCCATCCCACGTAATCCTTGCATGTCCTAGAGACCTGGATGACTCCTGGTTCAGCCGGTGGACGGCGAGAAGACGATCGTCTGATGATAACCAGGCTGCCCTTTCGGGGTAGGAAGGAAAGAAGAAGTACACAAGTATTGCGAGGAGACACGATGGCGCGCCTTCAATGATGAATAGCCATCGCCAGGCTTGTAGACCTCGAGAACCATTGATGAACCCTACTCCGTACGCGATGCTACCTCCGAAGGCGCCTCCGAGTGGCGCGCCTGCGATGACATATGATAAACGGATCGCACGCTCTTGGAGCCGATACCAGCTGCAAGAACGTGAATTTAAGACGGAGTATAAGGAGTAGGAAGCTCGGGGGACGCACAATGTTAGGAAGTATATCATTCCGGGGAAAAACCCTAGAAAACTCTATCAGATCGGCAGTATCGGAGTGTAAGGGCTCTCATCGGACCTGCCTCGAACGTGCCCAGCAAAAACCGTAGACCAATTAATGTGGAATAGTTCCGAGATGCGGCTATAATCATATCGGTTGCTCCCCACCCGAGCAAGAGAAAGGCAAACCAATGTGGCGCAGAGAAGTACTTAAGCATATAGTTCGACGGGGTCTCGAACAGTGCTAATGGGACGATGAACATCGCCAGCACCGTAAGGAATTGTTGATCTGTCATATGTAGTGTCTGGAGGAGAGAGTCGCCGCTATCAGCGTTCAGGATCCTGGCATTTCCCTACAATGAGATATGAGGACTTGGACATGCTTCAGAGAGGACTACGCACGACGTTAGCTCGAGCTAGGAAGCTGAACAGAGACATCAATATGAACGATGGCATGATACGAAGGTCAAGTCTCCTAAGCACTCTAGCAGTCATGGAGCAATTTAGCTCCAATTCCGTTCAGGCAAGGACGGGTGGACATACCTTCTCTCCTCGAGGCGATCGACGGTGTAGTCATCGTCAATGATTATCTCAATATCGTCGTCATACTTGTCAACTGAAAAGGTCGGAGAAGTAGAGGTCTCAAAAGCAGGACCGGGTTGCAAGCGGACGATTTCCATAGGAGGCGCTGATATCGTGCAAGTCGGAAGCTCGAGCGCCCTTATATGATCCCGTCAATGGCATATTGAACAATATGTTTCGTACTGAGGCTGAAGGAGGATAGCAGAAATAACGGCACATGGAGGCTGTCTGATCGCCACCGTTTAGGGTTTATTTAGAGGCACTGGGATACCGTGCCATCACATTCGATGTTCTTTGGACAGGATGTATTTCAGAGACCCTACACGTAGCTGTGCAGGTCATAGCAGAGGTGATGGAACATACGATCTTCCTGTATTTGAACGGGTCACTTAGCTCCTCTGTTATGCATAGGACGTACAAGGGCAGTGCCGGGACTTGAGAAAGATGATAGGCGGAAAATGTGTGGGGATGGAGAGTCGGCCCATGATGATACAGGCAATTGTGCGCAAATGACCAAAATTAGCGAGCGTATCGAACGAGATAGCACGTTTTAGCCTATGCCTTTTCAAGGTTAGTGAACTTTCTTGGGCACAGGTATAGCGCAAACGTACTTGCTATGGTGGCATTGATAGTTTATGGCGCGGGATACTCGGTCCAATTTTGCACAAGTATCGAGTATCCTCAGATCGGTGGGGGAAAGTACGTGCGTCGCGATCTCAAGAAATTCTGCATAGGAACTGGATGCCAAGCGCACGAAAGAGCAGCAATCGGTCCGTCCAAGCGAGGGTAACAGATACTGTGCATGACCCACCCTGTGAGTTAGAGCAAATCCGAGAAAAGGGAAGCGCACGAGAATAACTTGGTCGCTCTTTTAGACCTACATCAAGAGAGAAAAGTCCGGAGAGACCCATGTCGTAACGGGAAGATTGGGGGCTGTATTATATGTGATCCTGCAAATTTACTGCCAACATTGTGATTGCATCTCTCTCGCCCCAACTTGATTCACAACTCGACGATGTCTTTCACTAGAACCGGGATAGAACAGCCTGTTTGGGTATCAACAATTTATTCCGTAACCTCTAAATGCTGGACAAGTTACTTACATCAAGTCACTATCTTCTCGGGGCAAAATTAAGAATGTCGAAGTTAGAGGAAGCCGCTACGAAGGTTATTTCAAATTCAGGCTAGTACATCCGATTCCTTCCGAAAGAGGAAGCTGACCAATACACTTCACAGCTTCAACCTTAGGGCCGGATGCTGCCAGGTGCAATCTCGTGTAATGCGCCGTATAGCTACGTCTATCGTTGATCATGGCAGGCAGACCCCTCGGTGGAGCATTTGGGGGAGGTATCGCGTCTGCTGTTGGATCTTTGGACAGAGTACAATGTCTCCAAGCTTGGAGATGGTTATTCATCATCGAAGGCCCACCATCAGTAGATTGGAAAAAAAATTTCCGGGGATTGCGACGATCACGGTCCGGCGCAATTCTTCTCCGCCTTGTCAAGGTGTTACAAGTCCATATAATAGAGGCAAAATGTTGTGCTCTTTCTGAAGGTCATTATAATTCCACGCAATAATAAGTTGGCATTCAAGATTTCATAGAATTAATTCTCGCTCATGTATTACTACTATAAGCTCGATAAAACGGGGTCTGGCTTGTACAGGATTGATTGTAAACCGGTGATAGTGATTGGATTTCACTCTTGGGTCTCAAAGATTGCAGCATATTAATATTTTATGTACTACAAGTCAGCAAGCAAACCCCATATCTGTGTCATCGAAGTAGTTCAACTTCTAGCAATCCATCAGCTCACGCCTTCTTTGGGAAGTCCTTTGCCTTTGCCTTTGCCTTCTTCACCTTGCTCTCTGGCTTTGTCCATGGTGCCTTGGTTGTCGGACGTCCGCCGGCTGGTCCATCAGTTTCTGTTTGCAGTTGAGACCTGCGGCCTACCTACTCGTCTAATTGTATATCAGGTTCATACTGCACAGCGGTTCTCGGAACTTGAAGTGAGTTCTCAGCCACATCCCCGGCGCACTTCAGGGAAAAATGATAGAGGTGGGAGTAGGGGATAGAAGTCCGTCATTCAAAATTCAGGGAATGGGATAGGAAGCGAGACGGGGTGCATGGCATGCAAAAATGGCATGCTAGTAGCTATGTTGATTCCGAGTTGGAGATCTCACGATCACCGTATCAATGCGCCAGACATCTACTTACACGACCACTTTGCCTCTAGGCCCATTCTTCTCCGACGCGGATCTCTTCTTCCGATCCCGGAATTCGATCGTGGCGAGTTCTTCCGATATAAATACAGTCCAAAGTGCTTAAAGTCTCAATTCTTAAGCAACGCATCATCACCAAGTTCCCAAGAATCGCAATTTTTCAGCCTCTCCGCATCTCATCATCCATCAATACATCAACAAGCTTAGCTAGTAGTATTTTGAAGTGGATTGCAGAGTTGGAGGTGGTTGTCGTCGTCGTGTTGAAGGGCATCAAAGTCAAGCATCAGTGAGTCAAATAATGGCACTCTCGAAATTCACTCCATACTAGCATCAAGTTAGGGAATTGTTCAAGTCGGTGAGATGTTCCCTTACCCCTCCTTACCCATGCGATATTGCTCCTTGACAGTGTTCACTGTTCAGAGTGCCCTGGATGAGAGGTTCGGCATCAACAACTTGAAGTGAAATTCCATTTCGTAGCAATGTTTCCAAGTTGAAAAGAGTATACTTACGGAGTCCCTTCCCAGCAGTGACGAGGGAGGAGGAGTGGGAACATTCAGTATCAATTT